GCTATTAGTTTCAAGACTTATGCTAAAATTATTGATATTTAGGAAGATCCAAAATCAAATCAGATTTCATAGTTTATTCTTAAGATCCAGAAAGAAAAAAATAATTAGAGAAACATTCCTTATAATTAATTTAAATTAGCTGGTAGTTATTCTATTAACTGTTAAATAACACCACTCTCTGTTGAAATAGTGTTTAGTATGTAAACTTTCATTAGATGTTTTTTCAATGGCAGCTTGAAGTATATTACATTTATCAAAACCAAAAGTATATTTTTCATTTTTATGGAACTATATAAAAGTGGTTCTTTGAATTAGCTATGCAATTACTTAAAATTCAGATACTAGAAAAGTTTTAGAGCTAGAGGTTATTTTCAAGGTAATCGGGCTTAAGACTCTTATTTGCCAGATGTGGACTAGGAGATCTACAGAGTGCTTGGCTAAGGCAAGCTATGTGGTAACGACCTAGGAACCCATCCAGGTCTCTACCTCCCTGTGCTGCCCTTCTCTGTCTAGTCTGATTCAAAAACAGGAGGGAGAGGTGCTTTTTCAAATCTTTTCATATAAATGCAACTAAACCTGAAATTTAACACTGTGCATTCCATAGTTTTTCAAATGGTTGCCAAAGCAAGCAAGATTCAATTTCAAAATGCAGTTTCAAAATGCAAGAATCAAGTTGTCATCCTTTACTGCTACTCCTTGTCATTGCCCAGAGTCAGGGTGGTGGGAGAGGTTCGTGTGGGAACCTTCCTCCTTTATATACCACTGCAAGAAATCCATTTTAAGGATGAAGACTACTTCAAAGCAAGCACACCAACCATAGTGCAAGTGGGAGACATTACAGCTTGCAAAAGGTCTTCCATTTCTGTCAATCACAGGCCAAAGAGTTAATGGGTGGTCCAATACCATCCAGATTTACAGAACCCATTAATTAAATTAAGAAATATAAAAATCATTGAGTTTTCAAAATGAATGGTCTGAGAAATTCCTCTCTCAGAAATGTGAATCATTGAGGAACAGATGACTTCTGTATAGTTCAGTTTCCTAACACCAGCTCCAGAGGAAGGGTTTTCCCAGCCCTTTGGTTTGGGGTTACTGAGACACAGGCTTAAGTAATGACAGCATTTGCCAGCATTATTCTGCCTTGTTACTTCCAGCCCATCTTCCTCATTCTAGTTCCTCTTCCTCATTCTATCTAATTTTTATTTTTTGTTCTGTCCTGGAAGTTTCCAACTTGTTCATTTTCAGTTGTTTGATTTTCACCACCTGAAGCATCTGATCTGTATTACAAGTAAACACAAGTGGGAGTATATGTTTATTTAAAATATGGAGATAGGTACACCCTGAATCTCAGAATAATCTGAGAAACATGAATAATGTAGGAGCTCTTGGTTTTTGCTCCTCACAGCCAAAGCCAATTGTCAAAACCATCTTTACTTTCTCTCCATTACATTTAGGGGGAGATACTGCTTTCTTCTCCAAGTCATTCCCCATTCATGGGGACAGCCCACATTCAATGACTCATTGAATAGGAGTAGAGGTATAATACCTGAATGAAAAAATTGGAGGACACTCAAAGCATCCTCCTATTGCATTCTTGCTCCTTTTAGGAATGTCACACCTGAAAATGTTCAGACATTCTCCTAACTTATTGTATGATTATTTTGAAAGATAATGTCCTGTCTTCCTCCGTGGCCAGTTCAAATTTTAACAAGTACAAATGAGTCAAAAAAGTTTTAACTGGATCCCCACTAGATTGATTTGAAGGTGTATGTAAATATATGTGTGCGTACAAACACACACACACACATATACACATACACACACTTCTACTGTTATTGCTTACTCTGTTATTGGCTTTCATAATCTGTTCCCTCTGCCTAAAGTACTTTCTCAATTTCCCTCAGCTACGTCAACACAAGCACATTGCCCATTTAATAATCATTCATTCTCCATTGGATTTTGATCCAAATTCAGTCACAAGAGAAACTTTTCCTGAGTTCTCGAATTATATCAGCTTCAACACCATCCCCATCCCTGCCATTGTTTTAGTGGTTCATAGTACTAAGCATTTTTCTCCATAGAATTTTTTCACAAGTTTTACATAAATACACATTTCCATTTGTATTTATTTATTTCTCATCTGGAATATAGATGTTTACCATTAGATTCCCAGTGCAGAGCATAGATACCATGATCCATAGTAGGGACCCAAGAAATATTGTTTGAATGAATAATAAATTAATCAACACAATCCTCT